CGTCAAGTCCATCCCTATCATCAGGGGCCCTGGTGAAGGGCCCCTGAGGGACTTCAGTCTGTGGGTGGTGGTTGTCGTCAGCCAGTGCGTTACATTGTTTAGGCCTGCCTGTCCATTCCTAAGCTCCTGCCCTGACACCGATAAACCTAGAGCCACTCTGATTTCTGATTTTCTTCATCTCTATAGCCCGTCCGCTATACCCGAAGATACTGCTCAGGATTTGAAACATCACATCAAGGCAGAGGAACTCTCCCGAGCCGTCAAGCAAATGAAACCCAGTAAAAGCCCAGGCCCTGATGGTCTTTCAGTAGCATATTACAAGGAGTTTTTAGATATTCTGAGTGGGCCCTTCCTTTCCGCCTTTAACACCTTTTCTTCAACCCCTACGCAACATCATCGCCTTTTGGAGGCCCATATTACTGTCATTCCCAAAGATGGTAAAGACGTGATATTGGTTACCAATTACAGGCCCATGTCTCTTTTGAATATAGACATCAAAATATATGCAAAGATTCTAGCCAATCCTCTCCTTCCCTTACTACCCTCCTTGATTGACCTTGACCAAGTGGGCTTCCTTCCGGGTAGGGAAGCGAAGGACAACATCATCAAGGCCCTTAACCTTCTCCACCAGCTCCATGACTCTCAGGGTCCCAGATTTTTTCTTTCCCTAGATGCCGAGAAGGCTTTTGATAGAGTGTCCTGGGATTACTTAAAGACATTGGACTAGGAGACAATATGCTCAATTTCATTATGGCACTATACTCTGGCCCAACGGCACAGGTCTGTGTGAATGGGCATTTATTGCATCCCTTCCCTCTCGGGAATGGTACGCGTCAAGGACGCCCTCTCTCCCCGCTCCTCTTTGTAATTTCATTAGAGCCACTGCTATGTAAACTCCGCTTGAACCCAGATATCAGGGGTATTTCCGTTGTGAATAAGGAAAACTTGCTGGTTACGCGAATGACATCTTACTGTTTCTGACGGATCCTCGGATTACGTTACCCAACCTGCTTAAAGATATCTCATTCTTTCAATTTATCTTGAATCTTAAAATCAATCATTCCAAATCTTATGCCCTAAACATTACCCTTCCTTCGGATCTAGTTTCATTTTGCCAGTCACAGTTCCCATTTTAATAGGAAAGGGATTCCCTTACCTATCTGGGAATACAGCTTACGAGTAACCTTTCTGATCTTTACGCCAAAAACCTCCTTCCAGCCCTTAGATCCGTCCGAGAAGACTAAGTGGCATCGCCCATGCTTTTCCTGGTTTGGGAGGGCTGCTATACTAAAAATGAACATCCTGCCACGACTCCTCTATTTATTTCAAACCTTACCTATCCATTTACCACCCGTCTTTTTTGTTTCGTGCAGAAGATTATGTTCACTTTTTCTCTGGAATCACAAGCGCCCAAGCATTTCTTGCTCTCAACCCTAAATCCAAAGGAGGGATTGGACTATTAGATCTACAACTTTATCACTGGGCCTGCCATCTTACCAGGATAATTGATTGGAATATTAACTCCACCACCAAAGCGTGGGTGCAATTAGAAGATTCCTGCTCCTCTTCCCCCTTAGCATCGATCCCGTGGCTCCTGACTAAACACACTCCTCAGGACCTCCTCCTACATCCAATAATTGGACCTACCCTTAAAACCTTCCGTTTAGCCTGTAAGTTGGCCTCCATCTCAGACACCCCTAACCCACTAACTCCTCTTCACCTCAATCCGGACTTCCCTCCAGGTATGCACAAGTCCTTTCCATCAGAACATTGGCCACATAGTCAAGTAACAGCAGACCATTTTTTTCACAAAGGCTAGCTGAAATCTTGCTCTTCACTGGCGAGTATTATGAGAGACAACACCTTTCCCTTCTGGGCTTATCTTCAAACCAGGCATTTCCTTCTATCTCCTGCGTATCGCCACAAATGGACCCGTCCTCTCACCTCCTTTGAATTAATTTGCTCTAAAGCTTAACCACAGAGGCATCTAGTGTCATTAACATATCTTCTTCTTCTTGGCGATAGGACCCCTGACTTACTTCCTGCCTGTCGAGCATGGAAAAGAGACTTAGATATTGATTTTTCCTCCTCTGACTGGGACCAAATTTTTACTTATTCTCATAAGTGCTCATTGAATGTATCGGCACAAGAAAACGGATACAAATTGGTGACACGTTGGTATAACACCCCTACTAGAATCCATCATTTTAATCCATCTAGACCCAGCAATGGTTGGAGATGTGGAGCTCCTGTAGGATCCCTTCTTCATATTTGGTGGTCCTGCCCTATTCAGCCCTTTTGGCAGGAGGTACATCGCATAACTTCATAGGTGTCTACCCTATCTATTGAGTTCTCTCCGGCCCAGCTCCTCCTCCACCACACTTCGCTTCCCAAACGTATGTATTTCAAATCACTAGCAATGCATATGCTCAATGCATATGCATATGCTCAAAACTTTGCCAACGGTTTTCTGGGGATCTATTCACCCCCCTACAGTACGAGATTGGCTTATACGTTTGGGTAGAATTGCGGAGATGGAGGAGCTGATTGCTTCCTCCCAAGACAACCCAACTAAATTTTCCCATACATGGTCTTGCTGGATTCACTTCCGAACGACCCCTGAATATCACTCTCTCATGGGCCTTGCTGCTTGACTCTGATGCATTGGTGCCCATCAGTGCCACCTAACAATGCCTCCTCATCAGTGTTGCCTATTAGTGCCCATCAGTGCAGCCTATCAGTGCCCATCATTGCAGCCTCATTAGCGCACATAAGTAAAGGAGAAAAATTACTTATTTACAAAATTTTATAACAGAATCTAAGAAAAACCTTTTTTTTTGTCAAAATTTTTTAGTCTTTTTTTAGTTTGTTTAGCACAAAAAAAAAACAGTGGTGATTAAATACCACCACAAGAAAGCTCTATCTGTCTAAAACAAATTTATAAAACTGTTGTTTGGGTACAGTGTTGCATGACCGCGCAATTGTCATTCAAAGAGTGAGAGCGCTGAAAGCTGAAAATTGGCCTGGGCAGTAAGGGGGTAAAAGTGCCCGGTAGGCAAGGGTTAAATTATAGCAAATGTTAAAAGAAGGTAATTTTTTTCTATAATGATCAGTGTGTTTTTTTTTTTTATTCCACCTTTGGATGAAATGTATACATGTTATTCTATAACTTGTCCTGCTAAAAATTATACTAAAATTCTGATTCTTGTAAAAGCAGGACGGGTTTACTTTAGGATCCATCTGCTCATGAATTGATTAAACTGACCTCTCGTATTTAACCATTTCCAGGACTTTACCCACAATAGTTTCTTTTTATTCCTGATAACATTGTAGCTGTTGGTTGCTGTTTACATTGTATTAATATTTACTGGAAAGCAGCGCAATGTCTATTCTTCTACAGGTAAGCAGCCCCAGAGGAATGTTGGTAGGTGGGTGTAGAATGTTCTTCTGTTGTCTTGTAGCCTAGGAGTAACTGTTGACACGGCATCCAAGCTGAGTTGACAAGGCAGCCGGATCATTTCTGTACTCTGCAGGACTCACAGAGAAAGAAAATCTGAGATGTGCTCCTGCTAAATCCAATCAGTCCGTTGTTTATTTAAAGAGTACATCTCCTGTGGGACGCATGTTCTGCCCCTGATGACTTTCACCCGTCATTGTGCTTAGTTGTGTAGAAGAACTACTACTAAACCCAATTAGAGGTGAAATGCACTGCGGAGGATGCCTGCATCTGGCAGGTGATGTACTCATTCTCTGAACTAACGATGGATCAAGCTGAATTTCGTCTCTGTTCTTCACTATTCTTGCTATGTTAGAAAATGAAAGTGTCTTAGCAACGTCCTAGCAACAAGGCAGGATGGGATGATGACATTTTTTTCGGCCAGGCTTTGGGAGGTTCGTATATGGTCTACACCTACAGCACAGGCATTATCAAACTTTAGTCAAAGTCAGGACTGGGACAAGGGGTGGGCAGGAGGGACAGCTGCCCAGGGTCTTCCTCTTCTCCACTCGCAATTCCTAAATCAGTGGCTAACCAGTAGGGTGCACATTTTTCTACTCTTACAGATTTTTCTACTCTGATAGCTACTGATGCCACATATGCTCCAACCACCTGTTCTCATCCCCATTCTATTTTCTACAAAGCAAGCAATTGTGGGCTAAATGGTTAGCGCTTCCACCTGGCAGTACTAGGGTCATTGGTTCAAATCCCAACCATGGCACCACCTGCCTGGAGTTTGCATGTTCTCCCTGTGCCTGCGTGGGTTTCCTCTGGGTACCCCGGTTTCCTCCCACACTCCAAAGACATGCTGGTAGGTGAATTGGCTTCTATCTAAATTGGCCCTAGTATGTCCATATATGAATTGTGATTTAGAGACCTTAGATTGTACACCCCTTGAGGGTTATTATTATTATACAGGATTTATATAGTGCCAACAGTTTGCTCAGCGCTTTACAATTTAAAGGGAGACAATACAGCAACAATACAGTTCAATACGAGAGGGTTAGGAGGCCCTGCTCCTTGGAGCTTACAATCTAACAAGGAGGGGAAGGTGGTAAAAAAGGTAATAGCTGCATGGGATGATCTGATGGAGGTGGCCCAAGTAAGTCCTTAGGTGGAAGAGGGACAGATTTCCCTGAATAAATGAGTTTTCAAGAATCTCCTAAAGATGGGGGATGAACTGATAGTAGGAGGAATAGAAGATTCCGTTATTAGCTGAAGGTGGGATAGGCTTCCCTGAAGAGATAGGTTTTCAGAGATCACCTAAAAGTGGGCAGAGTAGGTGATGGTTGGATTGATTGGGGTAGAGAGTTCCAGAGGATGGGGGAGGCTCTGGAGAAGTCCTGGAGATGAGCATGGAAGGAGGAGACAAGGGAGCTAGAGAGCAGGAGGTCGTAAGGAGCAGAGAGGACAGTTTGGGTGATATTTGGAGACAGATTGGTGATGTAATTTGGGGCAGAGTTATAAATGGCTGTTATTGTTAGTGTTTTGAATTTTATTCATTGGGCAATGGGAAGCCAGTGGATGGATTGGCAGAGAGGGGTGGAGGACACTGAGTGGAGGCCAGTGGAGGGATTGGCAGAGAGGGATGGAGGACACTAAGTGGAAGCCAGTGGAGGGATTGGCAGAGAGGGATGGAAGGACACTGAGTGGAAGCCAGTGGAGGGATTGGCAGAGAGGGATGGAGGACACTGAGTGGAGGCCAGTGGAGGGATTGGCAGAGAGGGATGGAGGACACTGAGTGGAGGCCAGTGGAGGGATTGGCAGAGAGGGGTGGAGGACACTGAGTGGAGGCCAGTGGAGGGATTTGCAGAGAGGGATGGAGGACACTGAGTGGAGGCCAGTGGAGGGATTGGCAGAGAGGGGTGGAGGACACTGAGTGGAGGCCAGTGGAGGGATTGCAGAGAGGGGTGGAGGACACTAAGTGGAGGCCAGTGGAGGGATTGGCAGAGAGGGGTGGAGGACACTAAGTGGAGGCCAGTGGAGGGATTGTCAGAGAGGGGTGGCAGATACAGAACGGTTAGTAAGGTGGATGAGTCTGGCAGCAGCATTCATGATAGACTGAAGAGGGGATAGCCTGCGATGAGGTCGGCCAATGAGGAGGGAGTTACAATAGTCAAGGCGAGATATAACAAGGGAGTGAATAAGTTGCTTAGTGGTTTCCGAGGTTAGGAACGGCCGTATCTTGGAGATGTTGCGGAGGTGAAGTCTACAAGATTTGGACAGTGATTGGATTTGGGGATGAAAGGACAGATGGGAGTCTAGGATTACACCTAGTACCCTGGCATGAGGGGAGGGACTGATGGTTGTGTTATTGATCTTGATGGAGAAGTCAGGGGAGGGGCACGGGCTGGGGGGAATAGGGTTAGGGACTGATGTGAATGTAAATTGCGTAAATTGATGGCGCTATACAAGTACCTGTAATATTAAATAGATTGGCCAAACGTGTAGTGAACACTCCAGGGCAACCATGGACATGTGGCACAAAGGGAGCGGAGAATGGGCACAGTATGGTACACCCATTCTGTGTTTTAGGAGTATGGGAGGAGGTGCAGTTCTGCATCCTTGTCCCGGGGACGTTGAACAAACCTGTCCTGGTACTGGTCAAAGCTGCACAGTTTGTGTTTAATTTACAGGTGCCCCTTGCTGACATAGACAATTTTTTTGGTTAAGTTGAACTAACTCTATAATCATGCAACACACACTCTCAAAAAAAAAAAAAAAATCAACAATATAAATGAAATAAAACAAAAAACAAAAAAGTTTATAAAAAATATAAATAAAAAAACATAATAGGAGAAATCAGGAAAACAATAACTGAGATGAGAAGAGAAAGAAGCAGTTAATTAAGAATGATTAGGGTAAACTAAGGGTTATTAAGGGGTAAATGTTGTTTTTTTTTTTTTTTCTTTTTAAATTGTTGGAATTGCTGCTGCAACTCTATTCTCGTGTGATTTTCAGTGCAACTTTGCAGTGCGACGTTCATGCGCGAATTTGAGGCAACATTAGCGTCCATGGGATTCTAAGTTGCACTGAAGTCACGTCAAACTAGCGCAGGAAGCTTTTCGTCAAACTAGTGCAGTTGCTATGACTTGAGTTGCATTGATTGGAATGGCTGCAATTGAAATAAATGTGCTTTGACTTGTCATGGGACTTTATGTGTTTCAAGTCACATGACAAGTCATAGCAGTGTGAATCAGGGCTGAGCTTGGGTTCACACTGAAATTCGCACCAGTCTCTGTGCGAGTTCCGCACTGCATCATGATTGCACCCCTTTCATGTGAACCTCTGAGGGTGCGTATGTTAAGCTAACAACACCTTGAAATTAATTCGCAAAACACGGTGCAATGTGGAGAATTGGATAGCAAGGGTGTGAAGACCCATGCGTTCTGATCCTGGTGTGGACAAATGAGGGTCCTGCACTCTTTTGATGCAGATGCAGTGCAATCTAAGCCATACAAAATGTATGGCTCTAATTGCAGCGCACAGAAATCGCATGTGATTTGCACAGGAATGCGGTGTGGTTCCTGTGAGAATCACATGCGATGTGCCGCACCGCATCAGTGTGAACCCGGGCTGAAGGATGTTTTAACTGGCATCCTATGCATATGAAAGTATACTCCTTTATCTGCAGATGATTAGAACAGAGTAAATAAAAGGTAACCAAAATGTTACTTTCTATCCCTCTGTCTCACTTCTGACCATTTGGAAACTCGGGTCAGTAGGGGGCCCCATGAGATGCCCCTGGTACCTTTTTCATAGGCTTTTTTGAGTTTGTCAGGGACATAGGGACCCCATGATCCCCTATTGCCCGGGGATCCCATGAGTTGTCAGTCCGCCCCTGCTTCTGAGGATTGTTTATAAAGGCAGTTTGGAAGGTCTGTTTTTTGATAGAAGTGACTATAAAGTTGGTGATAGACTGTGAAGTAGACGGATGAAAATGTCATTTTTGGAGATTCGGATGTATCTTTTTGCATCTTTTTTTGTGATCCAAGTTGTCTGAGAGTGGCATGAAACAGATTTCAGACTAGCCCTCCAGAATCCTAGTTCAAGCTCAACACTGCATCCAGACCAAGGATCCAGCTCCCAGCTCCAGAGTGTTGCCAGCCCTGTTACTCATCAATGTTGCTGTAACTTATGTACAAAGGAGCTTAATGGAATTATAAATGGCTTTAGGAATGAATTTCATTCCATGGTATGGGGTCTCTGTTTTAGACTCCAATGATGTTTTGCCCATCTGGTGCCTTTAAAGCCAAGCACACACGTGCCGAACCAGCATCAGCCGATTCAATATATATTGGCTGAATTCGACCCATATGTATGACACCAACACTGAAGAAGCGGGCCGATTGGCCGCCTTCTGTCTAAGGGGCATGACCGAAAAACCTGGTAGTGTGTACCAGGCTTAACTCTCTTTATCTTTTTCCTTTCAGGATAGCATGCCTAGGTGAGATTCACAGAAACACATATAATGGAAAATACAAAAAGTAAAACCAAAGGTCAGGTTCAAGTGGATGGCATAGAGCTTCAACCCATCATTGCTAATTCCAAGAAGAAAAAGAAGAAGAAGAAGACTACTGCACCTATCCTGGATGGAGCCAAGGTTTGAACTATCATGATAAAAATACTCAAAAACCCTCTCGCACCTAAAGAATATATATATATATATATATATATATATATATATATATATATATATATATATATATACAGTGGGAATCGAAAGTTTGGGCACCCCAGCTACAAATGTGTATTAATGTGCATAAAGAAGCCAAGGAAAGATGGAAAAATCTCCAAAAGGCATCAATTTACAGATTAGACATTCTTATAATATGTCAACAAAAGTTAGATTTTATTTCCATCATTTACACTTTCAAAATAACAGAAAACAAAAAAATGGCGTCTGCAAAAGTTTGGGCCCCCTGCAGAGTTAATATCTTGTACTGCCCCCTTTGGCAAGTATCACAGCTTGTAAACGCTTTTTGTAGCCAGCCAAGAGTCTTTCAATTCTTGTTTGAGGTATTTTTGCCCATTCTTCCTTACAAAAGTCTTCCAGTTCTTTGAGATTTCTGGGTTGTCTGTCACGCACTGCTCTTTTAAGGTCTATCCATAGATTTTCAATTATGTTGAGGTCAGGAGATTGTGAAGGCCATGGCAAAACCTTCAGTTTACACCTCTTGATGTAATCCCCCGTGGATTTCGAGGTGTGTTTAGGATCATTATCCATTTGTAGAAGACTCTCTTTAACTTCAGCTTTTTCACAGATGGCATCAAGTTACCATCCAAAATGTGCTGAAATTTTATTGAATCCATTTTTCCTTCTACTCATGAGATGTTCCTTGTGCCACTGGCTGCAACACAACCCCAAAGCATGATTGATCCAACCCCATGCTTAACAGTGGGACAGAGGTTCTTTTCATTAAATTCTGTGCCCCTTCTTCTCCAAACGTACCTTTACTCATTCCGGCCAAAAAGTTCAATTTTAACCTCATCGGTCCACAGAACTTGTTTCCAAAATGCATCAGGCTTGTCTATATGTTTATTTGCAAAGTTCAAACGATGATTTTTGTGGTGAGGACGTAGAAGAGGTTTTCTTCTGATGACTCTTCCATGAAGACCATATTTGTACAAGTATCTCTTTATAGTGGAATAGTGTACCACAACTCCAGTGTCTACCAGATCTTTCTGGAGGGATCGTGCAGTCAAACGTGGGTTTTGAATTGTTTTTCTCACAATCCTGCGAGCTGTTCTGTCTGATATTTTTCTTGGTCTTCCAGATCTTGCTTTAACTTCCACTGTACCTGATGACTGCCATTTCTTAATTACATTCCGAACAGAGGATATTGACATCTGAAAACGCTTTGCTATCTTCTTATAGCCTTCTCCAGCTTTGTGAGCGTCAACTATTTTCAGTTTCAGTTTTCTAGACAACTGCTTAGAAGAACCCATGGTACTGATTGTTGGGGCAAGGTCAGATGAGTCTGGGCATTTAAAATCTTTGAGATTGACATCACCTGGTCTTCCCAGACGATGATTGAGAGCAATCCATGACACTGGCAGGTCACAGCTTTGCAAAGGGGGAAGTGCATGCTATAAATTCTGCAGGGTGCCAAAACTTTTGCAGACGCCATTTTTTTGTTTTCTGTTATTTTGAAAGTGTAAATGATGGAAATAAAATCTAACTTTTGTTGACATATTATAAGAATGTCTAATTTGTAATTTGATGCCTTTTGGAGATTTTTCCATCTTTCCTTGGCTTCTTTATGTACATTAATACACATTTTTAGCTGGGGTGCCCAAACTTTCGATCCCCACTGTATATATATATATACTGTATATCTCGGCATAAATGAGTACACCCCAATAGAAGGGAAGAGGCTACCATCACTCCGAGCCCTTGGTTGTCATGTACTTTTCCAACATGACAATGATCCAAAACACACCTCTAAAGCCAGTGTTGCATTTCTGAAGAAGAACCGGGTGAAAGTGTTTCAGTAGTATAGTATGTCTCCTTATCTGAACCCAATCGAACACCTATGGGGAATTCTGAAGAGACAAGTTGAGCATCACTCTCCTTCTAGCATCCAGGCTCTAAAAGAGGTCATGCTTAAAGAATGGAAAAAGATTGATGTTGCAATATGTCACCAACTTGTTCATTCCATGCTTAGAAGACTTGGTGCTGTCCTTACAAATCATGGAGGTCATACAAAATACTAGATATAGTAGTTTTTGTTGTGGGGTGGATTCATTTTTTCTTCAACTAATTTGAGTAAAACTGAAGATTTTGTAATCTAAGTTATATTATTAACCTATAAAACTCAGTTTTGTCGAAATTTTGGAAATTGTTTTTGTGTTCATTGAGATATTGATTGAAAACTTATCTTTCAAAAGGGGTGTACTCATTTATGCTGAGCAGTGTATATATGTACTGTATACACACACTATATTGTATCATATTTATATCCCAACTCTAGGCTAATTTATATTACGTTTTGCATGCAGCAGGGAAAGATTAGCATCTCCACCAAATTTTTGCCCTCTGATTATAACTTCTTACAATGCTTTCATTGCTAACTGAGAATGCCTGCCCCACAGCTGCATTTCTTCTACTGGTGTCACGGGAAATTATATTTTTTTTTGGATAAGCATGATAGAAGTTCCCACTACAGTGCAGCTAATCTTCTGTCATCTGGTCTTGAAGGCCAACTCTAGAATGAAGTGTAATGGATATTGATTCATGGGCTTCCAGAGGGAAGGAGCTCACATCTTAATAGATAATATTTATAATCTAGTGAAAAGATTCCCTCAGTGACATTAATTCCAAAATTTCCAAAATTAGCAATATCAATTGTTCGAGATTTCTTCTTCCAACAAGATATTGTATATTTCATATTCTCATTATTTTTAAAAAGTAAACCTTTTCTCTACCCATCCTCTTCAATTCATCTTTTTCTTTTTTAACCTCTTCTCTATAATTATTGTCAGCTCTCATTTCTTTTACTTCCTCTCCTCATTCTTTATGGTCATTTTTGGATTCTTTAACTACCCCTGAACATTCTCTCAAAGTTTTGTCCTTTACCATCCACCCTGGTGTAGACTTTCTATAGCATCCTTTCTCTGTTATGACTGCTCTTAGTTTTCTTCTATACATCTCTGATTTTGCTTCTCCATCTCTTTGGGCTTCTTCAGTATGATGTGTCCCCATGTCTCTGTTCCTCCTTGAGGTTATGCGTCTCCTCACCCCTAGCCCTCTTTGAGGTGATGTACAGTGGTGATCGAAAGTTTGGGCACCCCAGCTAAAAATTTGTATTAATGTGCATAAAGAAGCCAAGGAAAGATGAAAAAATCTCCAAAAGGCATCAAATTACAGATTAGACATTCTTATAATATGTCAACAAAAGTTAGATTTTATTTCCATCATTTACACTTTCAAAATAACAGACAACAAAAAAATGGCGTCTGCAAAAGTTTTGGCACCCTGCAGAATTTATAGCATGCACTGCCCCCTTTGCCAAGCTGAGACCTGCCAGTGTCATGGATTGTTCTCAATCATCGTCTGGGAAGACCAGGTGATGTCAAGCTCAAAGGTTTTAAATGCCCAGACTCATCTGGCCTTGCCCCAACAATCAGCACCATGGGTTCTTCTAAGCAGTTGTCTAGAAAACTGAAACTGAAAATAGTTGACGCTCACAAAGCTGGAGAAGGCTATAAGAAGATAGCAAAGCGTTTTCAGATGTCAATATCCTCTGTTCGGAATGTAATTAAGAAATGGCAGTCATCAGGAACAGTGGAAGTTAAAGCAAGATCTGGAAGACCAAGAAAAATATCAGACAGAACAGCTCGCAGGATTGTGAGAAAAACAATTCAAAACCCACGTTTGACTGCAGGATCCCTTCAGAAAGATCTGGCAGACACTGGAGTTGTGGTACACTATTCCACTATAAAGAGATACTTGTACAAATATGGTCTTCATGGAAGAGTCATCAGAAGAAAACCTCTTCTACGTCCTCACCACAAAAATCATCGTTTGAACTTTGCAAATGAACATATAGAGCCTGATGCATTTTGGAAACAAGTTCTGTGGACCGATGAGGTTAAAATTGAACTTTTTGGCCGGAATGAGCAAAGGTACGTTTGGAGAAGGGGCACAGAATTTAATGAAAAGAACCTCTGTCCAACTGATAAGCATGGGGTTGGATCAATCATGCTTTGGGGTTGTGTTGCAGCCAGTGGCACAGGGAACATCTCATGAGTAGAAGGAAAAATGGATTCAATAAAATTTTCAGCAAATTTTGGATGGTAACTTGATGCCATCTGTGAAAAAGAGCGGATGGCTTCTACAAATGGATAATGATCCTAAACACACCTCGAAATCCACGGGGGATTACATCAAGAGGCGTAAACTGAAGGTTTTGCCATGGCCTTCACAATCTCCTGACCTCAACATAATTGAAAATCTATGGATAGACCTTAAAAGAGCAGTGCGTGACAGACAGCCCAGAAATCTCAAAGAACTGGAAGACTTTTGTAAGGAAGAATGGGCAAAGATACCTCAAACAAGAATTGAAAGACTCTTGGCTGGCTACAAAAAGTGTTTACAAGCTGTGATACTTGCCAAAGGGGGCAGTACAAGATATTAACTCTGCAGGGTGCTTTTGCAGACGCCATTTTTTGTTTTCTGTTATTTTGAAAGTGTAAATGATGGAAATAAAATCTAACTTTTGTTGACATATTATAAGAATGTCTAATCTGTAATTTGATGCCTTTTGGAGATTTTTCCATCTTTCTTTGGCTTCTTTATGCACATTAATACAAATTTTTAGCTGGGGTGCCCAAACTTTCGATCCCCACTGTATCATCTCTCTGGCCCTCTTTAAGATAGTGTCCCCTTACTCTCTTTGGTCCCCTTTGAGCTGGAGTGTCTTCTCTTCCCTGGCCCTCCTCAAGCTGAAGTACGTACTAGCTCCGTTCTCTCCCTTGATTTGTGTGCTGTCTCCACCTCTTGTCCCCATTTGAGCTTCATTGTCTCCTCCATTTATAGGACTATTTCAATTGTTGTTTAATTTTCCATCTACCCCCCACCCAAGCTATTTCTGTCTGACTCTCCTTCAGATAGTGTGTCTTATTCTTTCTGTCTCTTCTTGAGATGTTGTGCCTCCTCTCTTTGCCCCCCCAAATAGGTGTTTTTCTCCTCTCAGGTCCCCCTTTGATTTTGAACTTGTCTGTTTTTTCCTCACTAGCCCTCTTTGAGATGGTGTCCTGCTGTCTTTGGCCCTCCTTGAGATGCTGTGTTCTCTTCTCTCTGTCCTTTCTTGAGATAGTGTGCCTCTTCTCGTTTGCCCCCTCAAAATGCTGTTTTTCTTCCTCTCAGGGCCTGTTTTGTACTTGATGTTTTTGTTGGGAGTGTGCAAATTGTCCTGTTCTTTGACAGCTGTTGGTCTTATTCCAGAATCCTGGTTTTAGCTATGATGCATCCCTGTTTGTCTGTCCACCTGCAAGGTGATTGATATGGCCAGCCTCTGGCTGGAGACCAAAGCTGATTTAAGCCAGCCAAGCCTGCAATCTCATGCTTGTGAAAGCGTGTGTAATACGTGTTCCAAGCTCCCTGTTTGTCTGCCCTGCTCTGCCATTTAGATTCAATTGTTGATGACCTCAGACTGGATATTGCACTATTCTCTGAACTCTGCCTGCCTTTTGACCTGGGCTATTATTGGCCACTCTGTTTGTCTGCCAACAACTAGTACCTGTTTGCTTTGCTAAGTTTGCCCCTGCCCTGGTGTGGTGGACAGGCAATATAGCATTGTGTATAATTCCTGGGGGCAACCGAGTACTGGTAGGTCTGTTTGCCTTATGGGAAAGGCGGATGTTATAGGTGAAGAACACAGAAGCTAGCAATGGTGCCTGACCACCTGTGTGACAGGTTTTCCCTCATCTCTATCCCTCATTAAAAGCCAGTCCTCCCTCATGTCTTAAACCTGTACGTTGTCTCCACTCTTTATCTTTGACACATTTTAGTCTTCTGTGTCTTTTCCTTTTTGTCCCCTTTGAGTTGTTGTTTCCTTTCCTCTCCTTTAGCTGGTGATTCTCCCTCTCTCTTACTCCTCTTGTGGTGATTTCCTCTCTTTGGCCCTCTTTGAGCTGGTGTGTCTTCCCCTCTCTGGCCCTCTGTGATTTGATGTGTTACCTCTTTACTGTCCCTTCTTAAAGCGGAGCTCCACCCAAAAGGGGAAGTTCCACTTTAAGCCTTTGTTCCACTTGGCACCTTTGGGTAGCGGGTACCCAGATTTTGACAGGTTGTCCTCTCCCTCCCTCCCCGTAGTCTTCTGGAACACATGCCAGGTCCCAGAAGAATACGGGGCCATTCACAAAGCGCAGGGCTTCTTGCGCATGCGCAGTGGGCACCCGGCTGTGAAGCCGCAAGGTGTCACGTCCGGGTGTCCACAATGAAGATATCGGCACCAGGGAGAGAAGACGGACAGTGAAACCAGTGGTGGTGAAGACACCACTGGACCGAGGGACAGGTAAGTGCCTGTATTGTAAAAGTCAGCAGCTACAGTTTTTGTATCTGCTGACGTTTATTTATTTTTTTTTTACGTGGAACTCCACTTTTAGCTGTTTCTCCTCCCCTCTGGCCTCCATTGAATTGATAAATGTCTTTCTCTCTGGCCCCTCTTGAACCGGTGCGTCTCCTACTGTGTCATCACTTTAAAACTGTTTTAAGTTCTTTATTTTGGCCCTGGTTTATCTGCTCTCTGCTCCTTCTCCATTAAATGTCTTCTTTGGCTCTCCCTCGATCTTGTGTGCCTCCTCTGCTTTATCCATGCTGAGTTTGCCTTTTTTCTATTTTCTTTTCTTTCAATCAGAATGTCGCTTTCAATTTTACTATCATTCATTTACAGATTGTTGACCTTAATTCTTGGGTTTCAACGCATATTAAGAAAAAAGAATGCGTTGCTTTCATCCCACAAAAGTCTAGTGATGGGTAAGTACGTAATCTGCAACAGAGTTCTTTGGAATATTTTGGCCGACAATGATAAAAGATATTGATCAATGTGTTAAAATGCAAGCAACAGGAGGCCTGTTCTTAGAAGCTTCATTGCTGCATATTACCTGATCTACAGGTGAAAGTCGAAAAATTAGAATATCGTGCAAAAGTTCACTTATTTCAGTAATGCAACTTAAAAGGTGAAACTAATATATGAGAGACTCATTACATGCAAAGCAAGATCGTTCAAGCCGTAATTTGTCATCATTGTGATGATTATGGCTTACAGCTCATGAAAACCCCAAATCCACAATCTCAGAAAATGATAATATTACATGCAATCAATAAAACAAGGATTGTACATAGAACAATATCGGACCTCTGAAAAGTATAAGCATGCATATGTACTCAGTACTTGGTTTGGGCCCCTTTTGCAGCAATTACTGCCTCAATGCGGCGTGGCATGGAAGCTATCAGCCTGTGACACTGCTGAGGTGTTATGGAAGACCAGGATGCTTCAATAGCGGCCTTCAGCTCTTCTGCATTGTTCAGTCTCATGTCTCTCATCTTTCTCTTGGCAATGCCCCATAGATTCTCTATGGGATTCAGGTCAGGCGAGTTTGCTGGCCAATCAAGCACAGTAATCCCACAGTCATTGAACCAGGTTTTGGTGCTTTTGGCAGTGTGGGCAGGTGCCAAGTCCTGCTGGAAAATGAAGTCAGCAAGCTCGAAAGGAAGCATGAAATAAATGAACTTTTGCACGATATTCAAATTTTTTGAGTTTCACCTGTACTACGCTGTCACTGATGTTCTGTCCCTTTAAGGCACAGTTCAGATCTGTGCAGCTGTGTTCTGAGTGTAGGGCACCCATTCATTTCAATAGCCTGCCTCACCCAGAGAAATGCAGGGAAAAAATCCCCAACCCTTTTTTTTTTTTTTTAAATTGTGCAGCACCAAACTGCATGGTGCTGTGGTAACATGAGGCTTTGTGTGAAAACACACCAGAACTGCAGATGGGCGGGAGTGCCATTAACAATGGCACCCCCACGTGTATGCTAAATTGCAGTGCGTTTACTTTGTTTTTTGGAAATGTGCGTGATTTTACACGTGGTCCCCGATTTTACATTTCGCATTACCCAGCTGCAGAGATGTGAAGATTAACTGGAACACCAAAGTCCTTCCAGTCTCCACAACAATAATGTATTTCTTCTGCTGTGGCCTACACATCATGCCATAAATGTGTCTATAGGATCCTATATGTTCATTGTTTGTTGTGTATGGTGGAATAGGTCATCAGTGCTGGCAGAGGCATAGCTAGGGGGGGCAGGGGGGTACATATGTACCCGGGCGCCAAGCTACAGGGGCGCCAAAATGAGTCTTACAACCAAGGGCGTATTTGCCGCAAGGCAAACAAGGCGTTTGCCTAGGGCAGCACATTTTAGGGGGGCAGCGCGGTGCCACCACTCCCCCTTCCAATGGAAGGGACACTTAGTACAGGGGCGGGCAGCGGGCTGCTGTGTCTTACCTGGCTACGTGTCCCAATCCTACGACGATCCAGTCCAGGAGGTGCTGCTGGAGGAGGGGTAGAGAGGTCCACAAGTCCGGTGTCTTCTTTTCCCTGGATGCGATGTGTGGGTGAGATGACATGCCGCCTCTGTCCTCTGGTCACACCCTGGGGATCACTGGACAGCCTATGGCAGCTTGCACTTCCCTCTGCAAGCTCCGACTTGGAGCTTGGAGAGGAGGAGCCGAGCAGCAGCACGAAGATAGAGTGAGGGAGAGGCCAGAGCAAGTGAAGAAGACAGCTGACCAGTAAGTGTGCCATGCAGATGGTGCTGCTGCAACCAAGTATGCTGGCTGTGGATGGGAGAGGGAAGGAGCCTAGGCTGGAGCAGGGGTCAGCAAGGTAAGTGTCATTGGTGTCAGTGGGAGGAATAGTGTCCCATCATTGGTGTCAGTCGGAGGAATAGTGCCCCTTCATTGGTGTCAGTGAGAGGAATAGTGCCCCTTCATTGGTATCACTGGGAGGAATAGTGCCCCATCATTGGTGTCAGTGAGAGGAATAGTGCCCCATCATTGGTATCAGTAGGAGGAATGGTGCCCGTCATTAGTATCAGTGGGAGGAATAGTGCCCCGTCATTGGTGTCAGTGAGAGGAATAGTGCCCCATCATTGGTATCAGTGGGAGGAATAGTGATCCATCATTGGTATCAGTGGGAGGAATAGTGCCCCTTCCTTGGTGGTGTCAGTGGGAGGAATAGTGCCCCTTCATTGGTATCAGTGGGAGGAATAGTGCCCCATCATTGGTATTAGTGGGAGGAATAGTGCCCCATCATTGGTATCAGTGGGAGGAATAGTGCCCCATCATTGGTATCAGTGAGAGGAATAGTGCCCCGTCATTGGTATCAGTGGGAGGAACAGTGCCCCATCATTGGTATCAGTGGGAGGAATAATGCCCCATCATTGGTATCAGTGGGAGGAATAGTGCCCATCATTGGTATTAGTGGGAGGAATAGTGCCCCATCATTGGTATTAGTGGGAGGAATAGTGCCCCATCATTGGTATCAGTGGGAGGAATAGTGCCCCATCATTGGTATCAGTGGGAGGAATAGTGCCCCATCATTGGTGTCAGTGGGAGGAATAGTGTCCCATCATTGGTATCGGTGGGAGGAATAGTGCCCCATCATTGGTGTCAGTGTGGGAGGAATAGTGCCCCATCATTGGTAATCCGTGGGAGGAATAGTGTCCCATCATTGGTATCGGTGGGAGGAATAGTGCCCCATCATTGGTATCAGTGGGGAGGAATAGTGCCCCATCATTGGTATCGGTGGAAGGAATAGTGCCCCATCATTGGTATCGGTGGGAGGAATAGTGCCTCATCATTGGTATCAGTGGGAGGAATAGTGCCCCATTATTGGTATCAGTGGGAGGAATAGTGCCCCATCATTGGTATCAGTGGGAGGATTAGTGCCCCATTATTGGTTTCAGTGGGAGGAATAGTGCCCCATTGTTGGTGTCAGTGAGAGGAATAGTACCCCATAGTTGGTATCAGTGGGAGGAATAGTGCCCCATCATTGGTATCAGTGGGAGAATAGTGTCCCATCATTGGTATCAGTGGGAGGAATAGTGATCCATCATTGGTATCAGTGGGAGGAATAGTGCCCCGTCATTGGTGTCAGTGGGAGGAATAGTGTCCCATCATTGGTGTCAGTGGGAGGAATAGTGCCCTGTCATTGGTATCAGTGGGGAGGAATAGTGCCCCATCATTGGTATCAGTGGGTGGAATAGTGCCCCATCATTGGTATCAGTGGGAGGAATAGTGATCCATCATTGGTATCAGTGGGGAGGAATAGTGCCCCGTCATTGGTGTCAGTGAGAGGAATAGTGCCCCATCATTGGTGTCAGTGAGAGGAATAGTGCCCCGTCATTGGTATCAGTGGGAGGAATAGTGATCCATCATTGGTGTCAGTGGGAGGAATAGTGCCCCATCATTGGTATCAGTGGGAGGAATAGTGCCCATCATTGGTATCAGTGGGAGGAATAGTGCCCCATCATTGGTGTCAGTGGGAGGAATAGTGCCCCATCATTGGTATCAGTAGGAGGCATAGTGTCCCATCATTGGTGTCAGTGGGAGGAATAGTGCCCCATCATTGGTGTCAGTGGGAGAATAGTGCCCCATCATTGGTATCAGTAGGAGGCATAGTGTCCCATCATTGGTGTCAGTGGGAGGAATAGTGCCCCATCATTGGTGTCAGTGGGAGGAATAGTGCCCCATCATTGGTGTCAGTGGGAGGAATAGTGCCCCATCATTGGTATCAGTGGGAGGAATAGTGCCCCATCATTGGTATCAGTGGGAGGAATAGTGTCCCATCATTGGTAGTGCCCCATCAGTGGGAGGAATAGTGCCCCATCATTGGTATCAGTGGGAGGAATAGTGCCCCATCATTGGTATCAGTGGGAGGAATAGTGTGTCCCATCATTGGTATCAGTGGGAGGAATAGTGCCCCATCATTAGTATCAGTGGGGAGGATAAGTTCCCCCATCATTGGTATCAGTGGGAGGATAAGTTCCCCATCATTGATATCAGTGGGAGGAATAGTGCCCAATCATTGGTGTCAGTGGGAGGAATAGTGCCCCATCACTGGTGTCACTGATGTGATTAAACGGGGAGGGGGGCTGGGGCGCCAATTTTATAGTTTGTCTCCGGGTGCAAAAATATCCTAGCTACGCCTCTGAATGTTGGGTTCAATTTATCAGACTATGCTGCAAATATTTTATAGACGCTAAACATGTGCAGAGTGAAAAAATTTGTTTCGTTTTTGGATCAATTTGTTAAGTTACTAATTTTGTTTAGTTGCATTCTTTTAGTTTAGTTTTGTTTATTCGTCTTCGACTGGATTAGAATTTTTACAATAGATTTGAAGCATTCAAATTGAAATTGAATAGAAAATATCAAATCGATGCAAATTCATTGTGAAGAATAGCTGGTTCTTTTTGAAATTCAAATTTTGGAAGATGGTTACATGCTTTCTTCTTTATTCTACTCTATTTTTTCAATTCTATTCTATTTTATTCTATTTTCTATTTTATTCTGTTCTTTTTTACTGTACTCTTTTCTATTCTATTCTGTTTTATTCTATTCTATTCTTTTTGAAATTCAAATTTCGGAATATGGCTATATTCTTTCTATTTTACTCTATTTTATTCTATTCTACTTTTTTCTGTTCTTTTGCTTTATTTTCTATTTTTTTTCTTTTCCATTTTATTCCATTCTTTTTGAAATTCAAATTCGGAATATGGCTATATTCTTTCTATTTTTTATATTCTATTCTATTTAAATCTATGCTACTTTCTTCTATTTTATTCTTTTCCTTTATTTTCTATTCTTTTCTATTCTGTTTTATTCTACTCTATGCTTTTTGAAATTCAAATTTCTGAAGTCAGCTATATTCTAACACCATACACATAGTCTTTGAAGGAAATCCGCAATAGTCAGCAATATGATTTCATTTCAAATATGTTTTCAAATTTGATTTCATTTTTTGAATTTAATTCAGATTCAATTAGAATTTGGACAAAAAATTGTATTGTTAATTTGGAATCGTTTTAAATTTGTTGCTATTGTAATTTGGAAAGTTAGATACGTCCGAATCTCCAAATGACTACAACTTTGTCCGAATTTCAATTCGGAATGAAACGAATTGCATGTCTAATAGATGCTCTATTGCTCACTTAGGGAGACCTGTGGATGTGGTTACACCAGAGAATCCCATTTTCATGACACCTCAAATCCCAATAGGCCACCTGAAATCAATTGGGACCCTCAGAAAACTGTCGAAGAATTTCCCAGTGATGCACATGGGGACATGACATTTACAGGAACCACCAGGACCTGGGCCAAGGTATGCTTGTTGGGTGTTGAAGGACATTACAGTATGCTGTAGGAAGCCTAGACTGCTGTTTGGCCACATTTTATCATTTTAAATAGTTGGGGTTAAAACATCTTGCTGTATAAGTTACTTTAGGCTCTGTTTCTCAACAGTACGTGCGAGCATCCTCCGACACTCATCCCAGCATATTGTTTGAACTGATGACAGAGCAGTGGGGGGCTTCGTGTACCAAGTCTCCTCATATCTGTGACAGGAGGAGCCAAAAATTTCAACATCAGTCCAAGGCTGAAGACCCAGTTCAGCCGGGGCCTTGTGAAGGCTGCACGAAGCACAGGTAATGGGGCTTCTACAATGAGCACATCATCCTTGTGCTTCACTGTCACTGCTGTCCTCACTTGTAATGCTTGGCCGAAACACTTTAATGATCATGATTTTCAGTGGCTATTGAGGAAAGTAGGTAATGTTTATTTTTGTTAGATAAAATGGCCACTAGCAGAGTTTAAAACTTGATGCTTAAAGTCAGCCATAGACAGTTTGAATCTCGGCTGGTTCAGCAGAAACTGGTTGAGGTTCAAACCATGTATGGGAAGGCGGAATGCACCCAAGTTGATTGATTGATGACATTGGGTACAACCAGTCTGCCGAATTTTACATGCAATTATTGCTAGCGGCTGCTATATTCACTAGTAATCAGGGGAGGACTGACCATTCGGGAACTTGGGCACTGCCCAAGGGCCCAGTGTCCAGTAGGGCCCCATGAGATGCCCCTGGTACCTTTCATAGGCTTTTTTTGGGTTGTGGTTTGAGTGTGGACGTGGACACAGGGGCCCCATGATCCCCTATTACCCAGGGGCCCATGATTGTCAGTCCGCCCCTGCTAGTAATAGTCACTGTCTTCTCCCAGCAGGGACTGACAGCACAATGACTCACCTGGAGGGATTCCTCGGTCAACACTGTCTGCCTTCAGTAGACCTCTAAGTACCTATCAAGTCTAAAAGAATAAATTCCTGCCGTTTCTCACAATAAACAGCAATAGTTTCCTCTCATTAGAAACGCTCCATTTATATCATTAAAATACCATCTTGCCAACTTACTTCAGTCGTTCAGTCATCCAGGAAGTTTTTCTCTTTTGTTGGTTTGATATGTTGTTGCCCTTTCATGTGCTCCTTGCTGTGAAGGCCAGTTATAGACCTGGGACAGTGGCCATTTTTGTACTGTTGAGTTGTTGGAGAGGAGGCGTACTGGACACCTTAGCTGCCATTTTGTGCTACATGCTGGGTGTCCAGAGCGCTCTGGTACCTTAAAGGAGGGGTGGGCTCCCTTAGGTCCACCTGCCCTTGGTCTATCCATTAACCTCCTCCCGCCCGCCATATAAGTAATATGATGAACGCAAGGTGGTTCTTTCGTTCTGGTAGGACATCATATGACGTCCTCCCATGCTCACCACGCATGCGCAGCTCCGGGAGCGCGCAGCGTGGCGATTGGCGGTGCGCTGTGTCCCTCGGACACAGCGGATCACCGATCTACCGGGAAAGAGCTCAAGATGTCGGCTCGGTCCATGTGATTAGCTCTGTCCAATCACAGCTGATCCCATGTAAATCAGGGAAATTCTGCTTATCGGCATTTCTCTCCTCTCGAGCTGTCACGCAGACAGAGGAGAGGAGAGGAGAGCGGTAATTGCATTCCTCGGAGGGGACAAACTACACTGTTCAGAACATCAGAGCACTGATGATCAGTGTGCCCTGATGATCTAATGTAGCCCCAGCAGCGCCACCTGTCAGTGTTGTCAACAGTGCCCAGCTCTGTGCTCATCCATACCAGCTGCTAGTGCCCATCAGTGCCACATCAATGCCACATATCAGTGCCCATCTGAGCTAGCTGGCCTTTCAGTGTCACCCATCAGTGCCAGTCAGTGACACCTATCAGTGCCTGGCCAATCAGTGCCACCTATCAGTGCCAGTCAGTGCCGCCTAATCAGTGTGCATCAGTGCTACCTATCAGTGCCCGTCAGGGGTGCTGCCTATCAGTGCCACATAACAGTGCCAGTCAGTGCCACCTAACAGTGCCAGTCAGTGCCGCCTATACAGTGCCAGTCAGTGCCGCCTATCAGTGCCGCCTATCATTGCCATATATGAGTGCCGCTTTTCAGTGCCCCTCAGTGATGCCTGTCAATGCCCATCAGTGCCACCTTACCAGTGCCCATCAGTGCCACCTATCAGTGTCCCATCAGTGCAGCCCTATCAGTGCCCATAACTGCAGCCTCATTAGCGCACATCAGTGAAGGAGAAAATCACTTATTTACAAAATTTTATAACAAAAACTAAGAAAAAAAGTTTTTTTTTCGAAATTTTCAGTGGTTTTTGGTTTGTTCAAGAAAAAATAAAAAACCCCGAGGTGATTAAATACCACCAAAATAAATCTCTATCTGTCACAAATAAATGATAAAAATTTCATATGGGTACAGTGTTGCATGACCGCGCAATTGTCATTCAAAAGTGCAACAGCGCTGAAAGCTGGAAATTGGCCTGGGCAGGAAGGGGGTCTATAAGTGCCCTGTAGGCGAGGGGGTTAAAGACATGTGCCTCTACTATGGGGGCTCTCAAAATTTGTATAGTTACGACTACAGAATATCAGGGTGCCCTGAAGAGGCTCTGTAGCTTACGCATGTGTTTACAAATGTGATCATAACTAAACCCCTGTTTTTTATGTCTGACTTGTTTGCAGGCTAGGTTGGCAAAGCTGGAGCCAGGAAATTTGTCTCTTTTTGTTGTTTGACATGCATTGTCCCTCCATGTTGTCTCTTGCTTGTGAAGGCCAGTTCTATAGACTGGGGCAGGGGCCATTCTTTGTACTTTTCATATATACTGTTTGTAGTTTAAGTAAGGAGGAGGAATAACGATGGAAATGGCTAACCAGAGTAGGGTCTTACAGTACAGACAGTGCAAGCCATATTTTGTATAGCCAATCTCTCTCCCTTTCTGCACATACAGGGGCCTGGATCATCCACTGTGAAGGTTCTCATTGCTTGGGGTCATGAAGCACCGTAGGTGAAGCCCATACGGAATTTCAGTGGAGGTTGAAGAAGGCTCTGAGAATTGTCC